GAAAAGGTGATTAATGAATTTTCAGGTGAATAGAAAGTATCTCAGGCTGCTGCTATGGTTTTTTGACATTACATGGCAACAATATGTAGGCTTAACAGGAAAGAAGACAAATGAACTCTAGAGCAAAATGCTCCATGTAACTCTAATCATTGTTCCAAGCAAAATTCAATTGCTGTCTGAGTGATCTGAGAATAAATGCTTTTAAAACACGTGCAAAAAAACGGATTTTGGAAGTGTCCAACAGGCACCTTAATATTGATCACCAAAATAAGAAAGTCTACCTGACAAACTAATCAGTTCTTTTTCTGTATTGTGATAGTCATTTCCATTTATGTAAATGACAAAGCAATCATTTTGATAACTTCATCATTCTTCTCAAATATTGAGGACTTAAGTAGATATCTTTGTAATATTGTTGTCAATATTTCTGACACTTTTGTGACGTGTGTCATGGTCCTCCACTAATTAGTTCTCTGGAAATAAAGTCCATTGTAATTAAGGTAATCCTGTTAAATTTATTTTAATTGTTAAATACGTTTTAATTATGTGTGATGTGGTTCAAAGGTGATCAGTGTTCCCAATGAGATGTATACACATACACACACACACATCACACTAATAAGTGTGCTAGAATGAGCTCCACAATGTCTTGCCTCTTGGTGTGTTTTGTTCACTGCTGTAACCCCAGCATCTCAAACAATGCTTGGAACATTAAAGCAACCCCATAAATATATGTGGAGAGAATTGTGCCATACATAATACAATGGTTATAGCTTTATCTGTGTATAAAATGAATGTTCCCCAGAGCAGCACTGAAAACTGTGAGGTTGCTTTTCTTAACTTCATCTTCATTTTCTGTACTCTTACTTGTCCCTGTCAAATCCACTTTGTTCCCTTTGGGCATCTAATAATGTTAAAAATAGTATTAATATTTATAACTTTTACATAATGCTTACAATGTCTAGAAACTGAGCTGTGTATTTTATATTTTCGTTTAATTCTCACAACAATCTAACAAATCAAGTGATATTATAACTCTCATTTATGAAGCAAATTGGATTACATAGAGGTAAGTACCTTGACTGCACTCAAAATGAGTGGAGGAGCTGGGATCACATCTCAAATGCCTCTAACAAGAAGCCCTGACCTCATCACCATACCGTACCACTCCCTAATGACCCCTTAACTCACTAAGCCCTCCTCATTACCATATCGTGAAAGGACATGCTACCCTTCTTTTATGTCTCAAAATCCCCACCTCACTTTTCAGAAGCAAATCCTTTTCCTGATATTTCAAAAATAGTGCACAGAATGGGCTATTTCTCTCCACTGCCATCACCTCAGCCTGCCTACAATCCCCCTTCAACTGAACTACTTCAAACCTTCCCAATGTCTCCATGCTTTTATTATGAATCATTCTCTATAGAAGAGTCAAAATAATCAGCTTTCAAAGCTGGATCTCTATGTCTCCTTACAGAAAGTGAATATGTAATATTTAATACATAAAAAATGTATTTAAAAAGTAGAGAAAACATCTATAGAGCCGCTGACTGCATTAATAAAACTTTATCAACATATTTAAATCCCCTATTTCTCACCCCTCTGTTAACTTTCTCATTCACTACCCTCTAACACTCCTATATTTGATATTTATTTTAGCAACATAATTCTTTTTGGTCTATTATATATATCTCTAAGAAACATATTCTATTTCTGCATTTTTAAAATTTGATATAAGTGATATTACTTTGTATTTATCCTTTAGCAACTTGTTTTTCACTCATTATTATGCTCGTGACATTTATTCATGTTAATTTTCACTTCAGTATATTACACATTCTAAATAAATTGTTTATTTATCCGTTTTCCTGTTTATGTATATTTCAGTAGTTTACAGATTTGCTATTGTTATTACAAATAATGCTGCCACAAGTATCTCTATACATGATTCTTATTGTATACTTTTGAGAGCTTATTCTTAGGTATAGTCCTAACACTGAAGTTGTTAAGTAATAGAGAATTTCATCTTCAACTTTATATTGTAGAAATGACCCAATGTAGTTATTTGCAGTGATTTGGTTTTTTGGGAAGACATAGTAGCTCCAATGGTTAGAGGAAAGTGAAAACTATAGCCTTCTACCCCCACAACTTTATTTGATGATATTAACAGTGAAAGCAAGTCTCAAAGATTTTATTTAGCAAGCAAGTCCAGAAACAGTCATATTATCTATACTGTTGGCCCAGTGAAGTTCCATCTTCCTCCTTTTGGCATAAAGCTCATCATATAAAAGAGTCACTCAAGGCAGATGTGACAATGTTCTAGAGACAGGATTCAGCTCCCCTTGGTGATTCAGGATTCAGGTGGCATCCTAGAACTAGGCACCAATAAGAGGGCTGCTGAATTCACTAAGCAGATTCTTCTACTGCATAAATGCAAGACGGGAGATGCCTGTTTAGTTTAGCCAAACCATTCGTAATATGTGAGTACTAGTATTGTAAATGGAAAAAAAAAAAAAATTCAGTTGAATGGCTATTTCCTAGTATATATACAGGTATGTTTTGCCCCTAAATATCTCTACCCACTTAAACCAGTGGCTCTTATTAAGGATTCTTTCCTATTTCCTTCGTTTTAAGTCCCCGTTCTTCCTATTAATGTGTGGCTGAATGTTGAATCAAAACTGGTTTCAAAGCAGCAATTTTTAAAATGTAAACAAGATGCGTTTTGTGAATTTGCCAAAGCACTATCAATAAACAGAGGTAAATCAAGACAAGTTTTACTGTGGACATAATAACGTTTATTATATAATTGAACATAATATGAAATAAACCACAACAAATAATTGTAACATGCTCTGAAAAATTCTCTTGATACTGATAATGTATTTAAATGTTACTAGAACTCTAAGATCATTTATTTCTATTTTAAGGTAAAAGTAAATTGAATACAAAAAGTTAGCATTAAATTGTTAAACTGTAGTAATGTGAGAAGGACCCTAAATGTTCACTGCCCTAAGTCCCCAGAAGATGCAAGACTTTGATCCACAATGATTATATGACCAAACTTGTTCACTTCCGGTGTTGAGATGCATTGTCTGAGTTAGCTCTGGCCATCTTTGGTTTCCAACAATTTTCCTTATTTGATACAAATGTGTTTTCTTAAAACTTGTATCCATTAAGTATAAGAATATATAAATACATAATGTAATCATTTGACAGTACCAACTTTAAATAAAATTGCTGGTAGGATGATTTTTAAATATTGTGATTGTTTTATAACAATGAATTTTTGCTTCGTTTTAGCCTTCTTCTATCTAAAACATACTAATTTATTTCTTAAACCTAAAAATTTTTTTAAATGTTTACCTAAAAATATTAATGGTTTCTTCAAGATAATATTTTTATTTTGTAATATTCATGTTCTCAGCCCTCTGGAAATCAAGATAATTTGGTTTCATTATGCTATCTCATGTCATTTTTTACATGAAGTCAAATCAGTCACAAGTATAATGAGTTCCACTCTCCTACTGATTATCCTAAGGCTGCTGATTGTATGTCTT